GAGGGCTCCAGAGGGTCCAGCAGCAGCAGGGAGGACAAGGGCAAGACGGGCAAAATGACAGTGCAAGCTTTTCTTAGCAAATGGGAAATGTCGCGATGGCATGCCTACTTCAACAGAGGCTGCCGTTCCCAGAATAAGGACTGCCTATCTAGTGGACATATCTGCAAGAGGTCCAAGGAGGAGGTTGCACTTCTCGGGCTGCACCTCTGCAGGAGCCACCCTCAGAAGCCACCAAGACCCATGTGAAGAACACCACTGCCCAGGAGCACACCAAGCAGGCAGCCTGACTGTCTACAGAAGACAAAACCCAAGACCACACCAGGACACTCAAGGATGGTCCTAAAGGAAGGCAGGGCAGGTGCCTCTCCCCAGCAGGAGGCCAACCCCAGGAGGACAGGTTGGCAGTCTCCTTGAAACAGGTGATGCCAGCAGGTAATGCTCGGTCAGCTTGCCCTTCAGTGCCTGCCTGCCTGCCTTCTAGTGTGGGTGACAAAGGTCATGTTCATTCCCAGCTGGCAAGTTCCAACCTCAAGGGTGTTGTGACTGCTGCTCCCTCGGGTTTCAAAGTCCTGGTGTTCACACTGCTCACGAACCACATATATCTCCACTGAGTTCACACCCAAGGCAACTCACATAGAGACACCTCCCCCCTAAGCACTCTGTGCCTGGCTTTAGCTGACCCCAGAAAAGCCGCCGCAAATAAAATGTGCGCTGTGGCACCTGCCAGACCCTCAAGGGCAGGCGCTGACCCAAGGCACTGCTGCTACACAATGCACTGCTCCCTTGGCACTTTTCAGCCACTGGTCCTCCTTGAAAACCCTTGTTGACAACTACCCCTTCCTTCCAGGCTAGGTCAGGTGCTGAAGTGCCAGCTGACACGGGTTGAGACTAGAAGCAAATATGCACCCCAGCCCTTTGACTCCCTGCCAAAGTCACCTGGCAAGGACCAGGCCCGTGGGCAGGGCAGCCATGTCCACAAGGGGCACCCAACTATCCCTCTATAGTGGGGCATAGCCTCATCTGAGTTCAGCGTAGGCTGTGGAGGCTACTGGCTGAGAGCGTGTACTCACGGATGAGCGTGCACAGCTCATGGGGCAGCTTTCTGGAGCAAGTGGCCAGTACCTGCCTCCCCACGTCCTCAAAGATGACAGGCCTGGACTCCAGGTTCATCATGAGCATCGACATCAGCTGTGTCTTGGCCCGCTCCAGCTCCACCTGAGGGTCATATGCTATTACTCAGTTACCCACCTGATCACCAGTAGTCGCCACAAACTGGAAGAGGGACTGGTGAGAATGTGTCCCAGCACAAAGGTCTTCCTTATATGCAGTAATGAATACAAGAGACAGAGGGATGTCTAGGCCTGGGTCACCAGCACACTCAGCCAGGCTCAGCCACCAAGTTCTCTGGGCAGGAGCTGCACCTGAGAAAGCCTCTGCCATGCTCATGATGGAAAAAAGTGTGCCCTTGATTCTCCTTCATCTCTTGCCCAAATCGCAGCATGTGGGGAACACGAAATACCCAATTAGGGCCCCAAACCTGGCATACAACAAGAGTAGGAGGAAAATGAAAAAACGCAAAATATGTCCTAGGCACAGACTCTCCCGCATGGGGTCCAAGAAGCCCTGACTAGACGTGAACTTAAAATTGTGGCTCTAGAGGATCAGTTCCATGGAGGAACAGGTCAGAGTGGCAAGAAGTCGATGTGTGAATGGGCCTGGGAGCCACCATACTCCAAGAAACACAGTAACACAAAGGGCTGCTATAAGCCATCTTAACTAAAATAATTCCTCACTAACACAAGTATTTTCAGTTTTCACAACTTCAAGCAAATAACCACCATAAATTTATGTCAAATTGACTTCACCTAGGTGGAAAAGTATTTTTTGAGATACAAATGAAAATGAAGAGTGCTGATCTGCAAGCATATTATGTCTGAAATAATGCTTATTTTCTTAAAAATGCATGTGTGGGCACAGTAAGAGAGAAAGCCTGAAGGCCAGGCTGTGCTGCAGGATGCTCAGAGGCAGGCACAACGTCTACTGCTATGCAGGTATGGACTGGTGACATGGCAGGCTTCCCCATCTGGGCACAAATTGGCTTATTTGGTCCAAAAAGCAACTAGGCTTCCAAACATCAAGGTGAGATATCAAAAATTAAACTAAACAAAATCAGTGGATAAGCTAGGCACTGTAACATCTGACCTCCCAGCGACTCAAGCAGCTGAAACAGGAGGATTACAAGCTCAAGGCCAGTCTGGGCAACTGAGTGAGACCCTATTTCAAAATAAGAAAGGGCTAGGGGTGCAGCTCGGTGAAAGAGCAGCCCTGAATTCAATCTCCCATATTCCTGCAGAAGGCAACAGAAACTTATGTTCAGGCATAAACAGCTGTAAAAGGGGCACCCATCTGATATGGCACTGCTTGAATTCACCAGCATTCCCTGGGGCAGCTGAGGAGTATGCAGACTCCCCTCAGGACCGGCCAGGAGGCCCCGGAGTGGAGCCAGCCAGCACAAGCCCCACTGCTGGCTGCTCCTCCACGTGGCTCTCTCTCACCATCTGATGGCAGGTAAAGATTGGAAATGGCTCCAGGCTTACTCACTGCATCCACAGCTCCGCCCATCAAAATAAATTCCTTTGTGATAATTTCTACCATTTCCCGAACCTACAAAGAGAAGGAGATGAGGGTGCACATCAGCCTGCTGACCCCACAAGCAAGACCCTGGTCTGCGGGCTGCTGGCTATGCCTCACCTGTCTTGGGTCGGCACTAGCATGAATGCACAAGAGGCCAGTGTCTTCGTAGCTATGATGGTAGGAGGTCGCATTGTACATCCAGTGGTGCCTGAGGAAACATGGGGTGGCTGGGCAAAGGTGTATGGCCAGTGCCAGGCCACGGGAAACTGGTCCAGACACATGGCAGCCTGAGAACAGCCCTGTCCACTGAAGGCCACCAACCTGTTGAGCACGTTGAGGTAGAGCCTGGAGAACATGCCCTTGCCTGGCCCACCAGCTGAGAAGGAGCCCCCTCCTCCCATCATCATGTTCAGCACAGCGAAAGGGATAAAATCTTCCTCCTGCAAGGACGGGGACAGTGATTAGGCCAGGGCAGACTCGACTCCTTGGTTATACTGCCTGACCCAGGACTGCACTCACCAGGAAGGAGCAACTCTCAAGCCCCACCATGATGTGTGTCAGCTCTGGGATAGGGGTTGGGCCAAGGCTGACGTTGGACATGTCTCTCTCTAGCTGTAAACAAGAGCAAACGAGTGTTATGCAGAAATCCAGTGAAGACTTGGCAGTGAGTACACGCTGTGCTCAAATGTCCTGAGGCTCAACTGAGACCTGATGAACTCCTTCAAAAATAGGATGTGTTTGTTCTGTCGTGGGACTACACTGTACACTAAAGTAAGAGTGTAAATACAAACACCAGGGGGTAGGATGCATACCTGTGATCCCAGCCTTAGCAATTTAATAAGACCCTATATCAAAAAGGACCAGGGAAAGCCAGATGGAGTGGCACAGGCCTATAATCCCAGCAGCTCAGGAGGCTGAAGCAGGAGGATGGCAAGGTCAAAGCCAACCTCAGCAAAAGCAAGGTGCTAAGGAACTCAATGAAACCCTGTCTCTAAATAAAACACAAAATAGGGATGTGGATGTGGTTCAGTGGCCGAGTCGCCCTCAGTTCAAATCTTGGTACCCCTCCCCCCAAAAAAGGGCTGGGGATGGAGGTCAGTGGAAGAGCACCCCTGGTTTAATCCCCTGTAAAAAAGCAAACAAACCCACAATACACCAAAAGCACATGCCAGAGAAATGCAAAGTGCAAGATCCCCAGAGCTCCCATCACTACCTTGACAATCCCCCCGGTGTACTGCGCTACAGATCTGTCCACCTCCACAGCCCCAGCACTCCCCCAGGCTGGCTGGGCTCTAAGCAGGTACTTTTCAGCACATTCCACCAAATGCTCATGTTCGACGCCCACTCCAGCCAGAACCATGCGGTCAGGGGTGTAGTAGTTCCTCAGGTAAGAATGGAGCACTTCTCGGTCAATCTTGGCTATGTTTTCTGAAGGGCAGAAACGGTGGAGGCCCACAGTGTTCCCCCTGTATGCAGCCTTGAGAGGGGGACAAAGGGAAACAGACACACAGAGAATGTAGGCGGTTCCTGCTCAACCTCTGGAAAACCCAATGCAGGCTGGGGAGTTCAGCTGCAGTCTGGCAGTAGCAGCTCACAAAAAGAGCAAAATAGGAGGGTCATTCTACAGACAAAAATAGTAAAGGTTTTGTAACTGTTGGAAGTGGAAGATGCAAACATCACACTGCAGGTTCAGACATCAGGACATTAGGAGGTTGGGGCTGAAGCTCCACAGTAGAGTGCTTGCCTAGCACAAGCCCTGAGTCCAATCCCCAGCACCACAAAACAATTAAAGACCATGTCTCAACTGTTCCATAACCTGTGAGGATAATAGCAGGGACCTCCCACCCACCCATGTGTGAGAAGCCCCCATGAGAATACGGGCACATGTGGGTCCATGTTTTACTTCATGAATCATCTCAGTGAGAAGCGGTTCAGGGTCAGGTCGCATGTTCAAGTCCTCCAGCTCAAACTGGACAGCCATCCGTGTCATCTCTATTTCTTCATCTGCAAGGGAACCCAAAGACAAAGTTCAGTCTGCACAGCAGCATGTGCCCCAGGCAGCAGAGTGGGGCAGAGGTTCTGTGTTAGTGGCATAATGGTGCCTCTGCCTCCATCAAGGGGCAGCCCGAGGGTACCCAAGTGAGTGAAGGGAAGGCCAGGCAAACAGAAACAAAAACCAGGACCTATTGACCCCTCTGCCATGAAGCAGTCACTTGAATATGATCCACACCTCTGCTGCCTCACCTGTAAAAGGTCCTGAAGACACCTGACCTGAGTGTCAAGGCACAGCTGTAAGGACACCAGGCCCAGCACAAAGGCACTTAGGAAACAGACACAGACCCAGGTCAGGGTGCCATTCCATCAGCTGCCACTGTCAAGAGGATCTTAGGGCAGGACCCTGGCCTCAGGGCACTGAGGCCCCCTGCTGACACAGCACCCGCCAGATCCCTAGGACAACCTGCACCCCTCCCTGCTGGAACTTCAGGTCCTGCAAGTCCATCTGCAAGGCCAAGGACAATGGTGGCCACCATGATAAATTCTGATAGTGTGCCAGTTAAGGTGTTTAAGGGTAAGTTTAAAGAGCATTTCTTTTTTCTTTTGGTGCTGAGGATTAAACCCATGGTTACTTTGCCACTGAGTCACATCCCCAGCCCTTTTGTTATTTAGAGACACGGTCTCACTAAGTTGCTAAGGGTCTTGTTAAGTTGCCCAGGCTAACCTAAACTTGCAATCCTTGTGCCTCAGCCTCCCAAGTCATTGCACATGACTTGAACATTTCTGAAATTTCACTAAAAATCTCAAAGGGCCTAGAGAGATGAATCAAAGCACTAAGCCCTAAGATGCCAAAGATTTTTCTTTCTTTTTTTGGTACCAGGGATTGAACTCAAGGGCACTGAATCACTGAGCCTCACCCCCAGCCTTATTTTGTATTTTATGTAGAGAGAGGGTCTCATTGAGTTTCTTAGTGCCTCGCTGTTGCTGAGGTTGGCTTTGAACTTGCAATCCTTTCTCAGCCTCCTGAGCTGCTGGGATTACAGGTGTGTGCCATGGTACTCAGTGCCAAGGATTTTTTCCTCTTCATTTTGGTGCTGGGAATTGAATCCAGGGCCTTGTGCATGCAAAGCACACACTATGCCACAGAGCTACAACCCCAGCCTCACCAGCATCATCCCCAGTGAAACTATACCAACAATGTGGGGCTGTTCCTCCCAGGTGTGGCCCTTTAACAGTCCCTCTGGCTCCCCACCACCCTGACCACGTGCTTACTAGATCCATACCTGTCAGGCGGGGGTGCAGAGTCACCTCAGCCAGCAAGCCAACCACAGTGTCCAGGCCTTTACTGTCAGCAGACACAGCATACATGGTGGTATCTCTGGGAAGACAGCAACGTCAGGTTCTGGGGTCAGGCTCTCAAGCTTTCCTCATCAGCAGGGACTTTCTATCCTTTGGTTAAAAACCAACAGACACTTCCTTTTCCTCTTTTTATATGGTACAGGGGACTGAACCTGGGGCTTCGAGGCAAGCACTTGCTCCCAAGCTACACCCAGCCTTTTCTCTTCCCTCTCCCTAGGGCATGGAGTCCAAGCAAGATGAGCCACAGCGGCAGGCAAGGGAAGCTCTTCAGTAAAGGACACTATTGAATCAAATGGAGCCAATCCTACACCAAGGTTTTTACAAGCCACATTGTCTTGAAAGGAGAAGTGCTTTATCCTATGCTTTCTAAGCCTTGCTGAGCAACCCACTGGTCAACATGCGAACGTGCTTCAGCCTCAACAGCTTGGGGACTGAGCCTATAGTCCAGCTGGACTGTTACTCAGAACAAGGCCCCACATTGAGAAGTAGGCAGTCTGCAGCTCCACTGCCTAAGCTGGAGAGTGGGCTGCATCTGAGTCAGGAAAGGGGCCTGCCTGACCAAGAGAGCATTTACACGGGAGGAGTAGGAAGCTTGAGGCAAAGACATGGAGGACCTGAACACTAGGCTTCTCCCTTACTAACTGAATTCTTAGTGTTTGTCTTTTATATAATTTTTTCACATTCAGGTTTAAATAATCAACCATTTTTAATAATCCATGATCTGACTGCATCACCTCATATGGCCCAGAACTGTCTGAGCGTGCTCCACAGCTGGCAGGCAAAGCCCAATCCTCATGTCTCCACACCTATTTTCCGGCTATACAACAAACACAGCTGGTGCCTCGGCTATGCTGGGCTGTGACATGGCCCTACCTCATCCATCTAGCAGACCCCTTCAAAAACAATCCCAACGCCTCCTTTCCCATGATTCCTTTCCCCATTCCAGACTGTGTCTGTCACTGTAGGACACCCACCACCCTCAGCTCTTGTGCCCATGTGCTGTATGTGGCCCTCTGCTTTATTTGTAAGCATCCCGGGCACAGGGCTACTCTGACAACAGCCAATACCCTCACTGAAGTGATAGGCAAGTGTTCTTCCAGGTACTGCTTCTCCATGTAAGACATGTCACCTGTGTTCTGCCCCCTTTCTTCACCCAACTCTGTGTCCTGGCCAGGGCTCCTTTCTCACCACTAATCTCCTTAGCCACTCTGATGGGAGAGGCTCAGTGGGCCTCTGACCAAGGATGAGAAGGGCAGTTCCACATGGTCACAGAGTAAGTCTCCACATAAAAGACAGTACCTTGAGGTCTGGCAGTCACAGATACCCCCGTGCTTTTCCAAAGTAAGCAGAATTTCATCTTTGTTGTCAAATCGAGCAGTAGACTAGTAAAAGTAAATAAGAAAACTTAAAAAATCCAAATCCCAAAAACAAAGTTTAAAAAAAAAAAAAGTAATTTCATTTCCAAAACATACAAATTATCTTCTAAATCTTTTGTTAGCATTATTTAACTAAGTCATTTATTAAAATAACTTTCCTAAAAAAGGAAAAACTGAAATACCCCTTCCTCAGCAGCCTCAAAAATTCCAAATTGAGTGCTTGAGGGCATAACTCAGTTCTGCCCCCTTTCTTCACCCAACTCTGTGTCCTGGCCAGGGCACAGTGGTAGAGCACCTGCCCAGCATGCATAACACTCTGGGTTTGATCCTCAGTACACGCCCACAAGCACACATGAAACACCAAACAAATTGAACACTGACCGAAAATGCCAATTTTTCCAAAAAGTGAGCAATTCCGCTAAAATACTTCGCTTCATATCTTGATCCTGAATTAATAAGAACTGGTGACAAAAAGTAAATGGACAGGTTAAATCAGATACTCAAAATAGGAAATCTAAGTAAGACAAACTGTTCAAAGCTGAGACTATGATTTAAGTCAAAACTTCGTGAAGGTAATAAACATGCTCACCATCCTTACAGATATACACACTGTCACACTGTGAAATCCTACATTGAGATGAAAACTTACAAATCATAGAAAGGTCAAAGTTGGGGGGAGGACTATACCCTAAATGTTATCACCCAAAATGGACACTTGGCAGTCATATTTTGGTGAAGTTTTCAGACTTGTAACATGCTTCCACTCTAAACATGACATGCTAATTACAACCAACAATCAACAAAAGCATGCCACATTAAAATACACTTGCAGCACACCATAGTACTTACTTCCTACTGTACAAAACTGTCCAAACTTATTTTGAGATGCCACTTGAAGCCCATTATCCAGCCTGGTAACTTTGGTTTCAAATTTTTCCTGTCCATCGACTGTAGCAAATACAGGCTTGGGTACTCCAGGTAAGGGAGAAGACAGAGGGATGTTGGGATAGGCGCCTCCGCTACTAAACTGTCTGTGTGCAGAGGGTCCAAATCTAGAGGAAAAGCCCAGTTACAACAAACTCAAGGCGGTGCACTTGTGAAGACTGCTTCTGAGCACTCATGTTCTGTCCACATTAAAAGTCAACATCTCCGTTTCTGAAGATTCATCAAATTATCTTTTAAATCTTTTGTTAGCATTAATTCACTAAGTCATTTATTAAAATAACTTTCCTAAAAAAAAAAAAACTGAAATACCCCTTCCTCAGCAGTCTCAAAAATTCTGCATTGAGTACACAAAAGAGTGATCGAGACACTGGCTCAGTTACAGGGCCGGAGGCTGCGCTTCTCGGGTCTTCACGACTACCACCGGGAAACAGGCTTCCAACCGGAAGTCCCTTGAGTTGCAGCTAACAGGGACAGCGTCCTCTTAGTCTAACAGAAGCCGCGGCCCCTACTTGGCCCCGAAGGCCCTGGTAGCACCTACTCGGGTTCCCCCTTGGGCTAGTTCCGGCTCGCCAAGCCCCTCCAGGCTTGGCGCCTGCTCACCACCCCCCAAGCCCCAGTTCTCTGTCCCCAGGGCTGCCCCGCGGCATGACGACTCCCTTCTTCGTCTTGCAGCTCAACGGTCACCGAGCGCTCCTTCCCGACCGCCGACGCTTCTGGGCTCAGCGACCGCCCCCGCCTGCCTCCCCGGCATGAACCGCAGGGGAGCCAGGCCCGGCC